AGCCTTCCTTGGGCCTGGCCACAATCACAGATGAGGAGCTGAAAACTGGCGACCCCCAGGAGACCCTGCGCCGGGCCAGCATGCAGCCAACCCAAATCGCTGAGGCCACTGGTATTACCACCCGGCAGCAGCGCAAACGGGTCTCTTCAGAATCCCACCAGGGCCCCGGAACCCCGGAGGTGGGTGATTTGGGCATCCTGATGGCAGGGATGGGTACTCTTGGGACATCTCTGGCCCAGGGAGACATTGGGGGCCAACATGCTCAAAGCTCTGATGGCCACGAGAACTGATTTGGGTGATCTAATAATTCTCTTTCCTGTAGTCTAAGAAGGCCACCAGCTGTTTCCCACGCCCCATAACTCCCCGGGACCGCCACGAAGGGCGCAAACAGAGCACTACCAAGGCTCCGGAGAAAGTCGCACCAGCTGTTGTCAAACAGGTCAGTGTGGGAGGATGGTGGCAGGCCCTCAAGGACCTTGCTGGTCTGTCTGCTGGCTGACCTGGAAAGGCAGCGCCAGGTGTCCACATCTGATGACCTCTCCCTCACAGGCTGACCGGCGCCAGTCCATGGCCTTCGCCATCCTTAACACACCCAAGAAACTTGGGAACAGCCTTCTGCGGCGGGGGGCTTCCAAGAAAGCCCCATCTAAGGCTTCCCCCAACACCCGCGGTGGGACCCGCCGCTCTCCTCGCATCGCCACCACGGCCACCGCCACCGGCCCTCGATCCAGGGGCAAGGTGAAGGCTGGGGGTGGGGTGGGTACCTCATAAGAGCCCCTGTGAATGGGTGTCACCTCCAGTCTGCCCCACTAGGATCAAGCTAGTTGGGGGAGTGGGGAATAGAAGATGTCCCAATGAGAACACCCATCCGGCAACTGGTGAACTAAAAAGACGTAGCAGGGCCTTCCCAAGGACTGTGTCCTCGTCACGAGTGAGTATACGGGGCCAGACAAGGCTGGTGCTGGAGAGCAGCACGTGCTCATCTGGCCCTGTAACTCTGTCTCTTTCAGGCAAAGCACTGAAAGGCCAGTACCAGTGAGCGGTCCCACCTGTGTCCCTGATCCTGCCCTCTCTGGTCCTTCTCCTCCCACTGTCCCTCTCAGTGCCTTCGCTCAGCTCCCAGGCCAGGTGGCCGAACCACAAAAGACAGTGATGCTTCCGTTGTCCCGTGCCTCGGGTGGGGTGGGGTGGGGTGGCTGCCTTCAGGGTAGCTCACCTCCCAACATCCCCAGACTTGGCTGGGGTGGGATTTGGAGTGATGGGAAGGTTTTTAAGGGCCAGGGATGGATCTTTTCTAAATGTTATTACTTGTAAATAAAGTCTATTTTTTGCCCGTAAGTACCTGAACTCGGGAAAACCAGGCTGCCCCCTGACTCTTCCACACCTGCTTAGCTTTCCTATCTCCCCGGGGTTTTCCCACACTGGACCATTTGGGGAATTCTACAGGCCTTTCTCTGCTGGTAACCAAGAGGTTAGCAACTCCTGTCAATCCCGCAGGCTCTCTGGCCAGAATCAACTAGACGGGTTATGTTCCCCAAAGTGGAAGTAGCCTACGTGAGCAGATGGCTCTGCTGAGGAGTGAGGGTAATAACTGCGGTGACAAAGACACGCTGGCTTGGATTCATCCTTCTCTCTCCCCTTAGTGGAAATACAGATAAAACAGTCACCACAGCTGTTGCCAGAGCTAGGATAGTAGACTTCATTGCTCACTGTTGATGGGCGAAGAGGGCATACATGAGCAAAAGAGCAGTAGGAGCTGTCTGCCAATGAGGATGAGTGCTGGACTGGAATGGAGGCAGACTCCCTGGATACCAGACAAAGGCCCTGCAAGGTCTCTGAGTAGCCGAGCAGTGTGACCAGAGGCATCGGGAGCATACCACGTAGGCCTACGGAAAGAATGGCAGGTAGATGGACAAGTGCAGAGCAGGGGTGCGGCTGGGGGAAGTTGGCTATGATGTGATGTCAGTTGCCTGGCAGGTGGAACCCAGGTGCTGGCCACAGCTGCTCTCCTGCTGCTGGGACAGTGTGGACGCCTGGCCTGGCGAGGTGGGCGGCTGGGTGGTTTTCAGCCCTATCTGGAGAAGTGAAGGCAGACAAGGCAAGGGTCAGGGCTCAGGGGTGTCTTCCCCTACCCCACTCCTGTTACTATTAGGGTCCACCTCAGGTTTAGGGTTTTGGCAAATGGTGTTAGCCATACGATCCCCACAGAAGCAGAGCTGTTCTGGCCCTGGGAACCTCCCTCACCCAGAGCTGAGCCAGGAGGAGGTGCCGCTGGGCAAGCTGGGCGGGGTCCAGGAGAACACAGGAGAAATTGGTGCTGCGCAGGGCAGGGGTCAGCTGGTCCAGCACCAAGGACCTCTGCAGCCAGGTGCTGCTGCCGCTGCTCACTCGACTAGGAGGGGGAAGGAAGGGTGGTGAGGCTCCGAGAGGACTGCCCTCCCCTCCTGCTGGCCTCGCTGCTGGCCCCTCACCTGGTGTTGCCTTCCCACAGCCGGCCCGGAACGTGCTCGATGAAGGAGCCGTTGCCCAGCCAGTAGAGGAGGTTGAAGTGGGAGAAGTGGCTGCAGCCGGTACAGGATAAGTTCAGCCTTCCATCTACGGCACATGGCAGCTGCTAGCTTTTCTGTAGAGCATGCCCTCCCCTCCGTCCCACCTCCTCTCCAGAGCCAGGGACCTGGGAGTGTCACCATGCCCTGCTCCTTGGAGGCGGGAAAGTCTGCTAAAGGGCCTGAGGAAATGAGACAGCCTGGACTCTTCTCAGCATTTCCTCAGGCTGCCCTCTTCTGGTGCCCACCCTCTGTGAGCCGAGCCAGGCCCTGCGACCATAACTGCTCGACTGGTTTCTGAGCCTCCACGCATGCTGCCACGGAGAACTGGGAGTGCTCCTGTGGGCCCACAGTGGCAAGTGCGGGGCTGGGAGAGCAATCCCACCTGGAGCCCTCTGCCCACTGTGCCCTCGGGGCTGCTGGCACTAACAGCTCCTTACTCAGTGGGACTTCCACCTCTGGCCAGGTCACCTCCAGTGCTGGGCACCGCTTAGCTGTCGGGGGCCTGGAGGTGGCGGCAACCTCTGTGGTCCCAGCCGAGGCAATAGCAGCCGTGCTGCTCGGTGTGACTCCGTCTGGGAGATGGAGGATGTGCGCACACAGGAGAAGGACCCACATTGGGCCGGGGTCTGGGAAAGGGGAGCCACAGGTCAGCAGCTGGCCGAGTGCCTGGGTAAGCAAGCATAGAACCACAGCCCAGAGCACCCCGGGATCAGCTCTGATAGAAGGGCCCTGCCCCCCCCCCTCCCCCGCAGCACCCAGACAGACTGAGCAATAGAAGCTGGTTAGAGCTCCCCGGGAGGCCAAGGCAAGGACCCCGCCGGACAGCACCACTCCCCCGGCCCCCTCCCACCGGTAGGCCCCACCTGGTGTCCCGTGTCTCCGGGACATGGTTTGTATATCAGGTACAGCTGCGCCTGGCTCTCTGACAACTTCCCCTTTTCTCTGGGCAGCGTGGAGATTGAAGAATAAAAGACCCCTGTCTTCCAAGGGTGCATCCGTGGGGCCCGTCCTTCCTGTGTGCTCCACGGTCCCTCCCTGGGTCTGAAGTTTTCAGTTGGTGCACGATCAGGCCCTGCTGCCCACTGAGATCTCTGCAAGGCCAGGCCTCTGGCACCGGCTGGCGCTCTTCCAGCAGTTACCAACCAGGATGGCTTACCCTCTTTAGTGCCCCGCTGCCCCAGCCGGGCTCTTCCTCTCCTGGGCACAACTGTCTAGAGCAGGGGTCCACAGACTTTTGAGACAGTAGAGCCAATCCTGTCCTTCACAACAATTTAAAAGTTACTCAAGAGCCACAAATACAATTTTATAAACAAACGAAATCACTGTTGCCTGAATAGTAGCCTTTACAAATTTTACAACTACAATTTTATAAACAAATGAAATCACTGTTGCCTGAATAGTAGCCTTTACAAATTTCCATTTTACTTCAGGGCCACGTGCACGTAGCAGAAGAGCCGCATAGTTCTTGAGCTGCAGTTTGCTGGCCCCTGGCCTAGACCAATTGAATTCCTTATAAGGATGGAGAAACTGAGGCCCAGTGGGGCCAAGGGCTGCACTAGTCTCAACTGCTTTCCACAGCTCCTATGGCAGACAAGCACTGCTCACTGAGCAGAGCCGGTTCTGGGAAGGGCAGTGTACCCGCTGAGATGCTGGGAAAAGGCTGGCCTCTTTCACTTTCATTTTCAGGGACTGCACCACCCTGTGCCCACAGCAGCCTGGCATCTTAACTTGCAGACCCCACTACTTTCCTGATGGTGTCAGATTGAGACTGTTTGTTCATCAACCCGCCACGGCCCTCCACCTGTCCCGACCACCCCACGTGAACTAGATTCAAGTCCCTTACAGCTAACCCTTCCATCCTGGCCAAGGACTCTGGTGCTACCTTCAGAGCGGCCGTCTGCTTCCTCCTCAAGCACAGCAGCCTTCAAAGGACAACAGATTCCAGCC